GTTTAAGGATTTGAAGTATTTTTATTGTGTTTTAATTTTAACAAGAAGTTATGATTTGATTTACATTCAATTGCCCACAACTTTCTAGTGTTCAGTGTTTCTATCGCTCCACATACCCTTCCACGTCTATTTAGCTAAAGTAGTTGAAGATTTACAAAGTACTTATGTTCTAAAAATATATCAAAGAACTTCAAAACTTACATTTAGTCCTCCAAAACCTCCCATTTTGCAAATCCAGTATCCAGCTCAGTGACTTCAACAGACCCAGCAAAGCAGTAGACATCTATGCATATCAAAGGCAGAACCCTACCTAGTAATAATGGTTAAAAGTTACTGCTATTACATCAGCAAATTGTAAAATTATTGAGCATTAACATACATGGTTCATATTTGATCTATCTTGTAAGCATTTTTCTTTTAATTCATCAAATGAATTACCAGGATTTAGAGACCCTGATAATAGAACCCACATATTTCCATCTCAGAAAGTTCCAGAAATTGGAATCCATGTATATTTTAATGCAAGGCTGATATTCCTTTCTGTTCTTTTTATCCTACTATATTTGCTCATTTGACTGCTTTGCATCATTTTTGGAGTGAAGAAGAAAATGTGTCTTGCAAAAGCTTACACATCTTATCTGTGAACACTTCCTAAAGCAAGTCCATCCAGCCCTCTGTGCTCATCACAAACGCTGCCGGTTTTTTTTTTTTTTTTTTAAGAGATTAAGTGTCTGCAGGACTAAAGCATGAACAACTCTTTGCCTTGAATAAGATTGTTGATTCACAAGGTCTAAGTGAGTTTGATCTGTTACTCTTCACCCTCTGGGGCTTTAGTCTTAGGACTGCAAGGGCAGAGTGGAGGGTCCATGGGGTTCACTTTGTCTTATAACACTGGAATGAGCTGGCATTGAGTGATCCAGTTCATCTATTTCCTATGCAGCGATCAATACACGTAGTGGTATTCATTTATTATCAGAGCAGGAGAAAGGATCCTTTCTGGCACATTCTACCACTTCCTTCGCTATACCTTTTAGGATGCTGGGCACTGAGCGGTTAATCACTTCATGGTTTTTCTAAACTCTATGCATGACAAACAGAAGACGAGGACAATCAAAGAAAGGTCAACTTCTCCCTGAAGAACTGTATGCAAGCTGAACTCGAACTTGGCTTCTCGGGTTCAGTGTCACGTACACATGAGTTTGCCAAGGCTACCCACCAATTGTGTCACAGGAGAGCTAGCCTCAGTTGGAGAGATTGGAAGCCCACCATCAAGGGTTCTGCAGGATTGTTGGCTTTTTCTGAGCCTTCCCTTCTCGACTCGTTTCACTCTGAACTCAGAGGACCTTTCCTCTGTGTGTGCACCACCACCCCAGGTCCCTGGGGTGCCTGTCTTCTGAGAATACCACCGTGAGGTCCACTCTTATGACCACATTTACACTGTGTCTCTGCAAATACCCTTTCTCTAAATACAGTAACGCTGGCACCAGAACTTCAACTGATGAATCTGAAGATAACACAAATCAGTCAGGAACAGTGTCAGTTACACACACAGACATCTACGTGGGATAAAGAGTGAGAATGTCAAGTGCAGTTTGCTGGGGAATAGGCTAAATGAAGCATGGTTACCTTATCCTGAGATCCAAATCCTAAGTCTGACTCTTGTCTATTATGCTAACAGTGTCCGTTTTCTCAGCCTCAGGGCTTTTCTTTTAACCTGAGAGTATACTGATACCTGGCTCCTATGTTGCCCGTCAACCTCTTTAAGTTTTTCTAAAATTATTAATAGCACTATTCATTATACAAAATAACAGGCTTCCTCATAACATTTTCGTTCATGTGCATTATGTACTTTGCTCATATTTACATGCATTACCCTCTCTTGTCCCCTCCATCTATTGATCCTTTTCCTCTCACCAAAGAGTAAAACAGTACACTTTCTATTTTGCACACACACACACACACACACACACACACACACACTTTAAATAGTGACTCTGCATACAAGATCACATGTAAGCCATTTGTCCTTCCGAGAGGTTTATTTCACTTAGCATAATGATGTCTGCAAATGACATAATGGCATTCTTTATAACTGAGTGAGATTCCCTGGTTTATACATTTTTCTTTGTGTGTTTATCTGTTGGTGGGTGGATTCCACTGCTTGTCTACTGTGCCTTGTTCAGCGATAGACAGGGGTGTTCCAGTGTCTCTGGCTGGGTGTCTTAGAGACCTCTGGGGATATTCCCAGGCTTGGTGGAGCTGGATTCCGTTTATTCACTGTTTTATATCCACTTAGGTGATGAGTGCGAGTGAGAAGTGGATATTGAAAGTTTGTCTGAAGGAGGCTTCTCTTTCATCCCTAGATTGAACGTTATAGAGATACACGTGAGAATAAAATTAAAGATAAGGAAATATAATACTTTACCAAGTATAGACAGATATCACTTTACTTAATCGTAATATTTATAATTTTATGTAATTGTGACATGCATCAGTCCAACTCAGAGAAAAGCACTTTGGATTCCTAAATATGATCATTAATTCATTGTTTGGACAATTTTTTAATTGAGTACTTGTGTACAGCCCATTGACCACAGTGCTGTGGAGTTAGACATGGCATGCATGTCTTGGAAAAATGTGTATTCTAGGTTTGATGACGTTTTGCCCTCACATTTAAACATTGCAAGAGCTGGGAGAAATAAGACCCATTGATAAAATAACATAAAGTCGCCGTTATTATTAAGTTGCCATCACTTGTTTTCCTGTGCCCAGGGCATGCAGAGAACACCACTCACACCAGGGTCTCTTGGATGGGCTTCTTTAGCGCTGCACAGAGACTAAGCTTTGGACTTCGGATGCCGCCGGGGGCTGGCTGGCCGCCCTGTCCAGCCCCGCCCTGCCGGCTGCTGGGCGCGTGGCACAGAGGGAGTGGGGCAGCTGAGTCCCCATCACCAGCCACCACCGCGCCAGGTATACTCGATAGGCTCTGCTCGCACAGGCACAGGCTTTGACTGGGCGCTGCCCCCAGCGACCTGGAGCCTCGGGTCCTTCCTTGGCGTCCCGAGGGTCTCACGTCCCAGTACGGGTGTCTCCGGAGCTCGAGTGGCTGTAGCTTAGGCTGGGCGGCTCCTGAGGCACCTGTTTGACAGCCTTGCACTAAATCAGAGAGCAAGCAACACCCGCCAGGAGCCCCGCGCACGCACATCACTCGCAGCTCCAGCGGATTAGAACTCGCGTCCTTGCTCCTCTCTGCAGTCCCATTTCAAGCTAACTCTGGCTTTAAGAAAAAGCCGAGTGGGTCCAGTTTCTGCAGCGCTTTCTTCTGCAAGATGGTAAGTGAGGAGCTGGCCTTAGCTAGTCCCGCTGCCAGAACCCCGGGGGCCCTGGAAAGACAATAAACTGCATTTAGAATGTATTCTGCCTTGGGAGATGCCTTTGTACTTTCCAACTAATATAGGCCATTTCTGCTGCCCCGCACCCCTTTATTATTTTCTGCTCCCTTTCCCTGCATATTTGCCGGCCAACCCCACCCCTTCCCCCTCACCCTGCACAGACCTTCCTTCCTTCCACCTGTTCCTCTAGATTATGCACATATTTGCAAACACTTAGATTTGAAATCCTCAGGAGTGTTTGGGGTTTGTTTTCCTCTCAGGTGTCGATTGCTTAATAGCTTAGCTCTGATTCCAAGAATAACCTCAAAAAAAGAGTCTACAAACATACTTTTAGAATAAAGGAAAATAGCACTTGACAAACTTTTGGCTGAATTTCCTCGGGCAGCACTGCCCAAGCTGTCCTTGCCTCAAAGGGATACCTTTTCAACCCTTCACTCACTGGCAGCAGGGGCCTAGGGTGACTCAAGTCACTCAATAACTTTTGTTCTTTTATTCTTATTTCCCTCCCCCTCCTCCCCCTCCTCCTCCTCCTCCTCCTCTTCCTCCTCTCCCTCCCCTTCCACTTCTTCCTCTTCTTCTCTACCCTCTTCCTTTACCCTACTCTCTGCCTTCTCGACGTTATGTCCGAGAAAGTTCTCAATGCAGCCCCAGGCTTGGAGTGGCCAGAGGAGTTTGCCCAAACCTGGATTCTGCTGCAAGGGATGTTTTTGACTTGATTAAACATTGACACATAAGTAAGAACGGGCCGTTGGACAGCTTAAGCCAGGAAGGAGGCAGACTGCCCACCCCTGCTTGGACATTTGGAAAGACCACATTTGAGATTTGAGGAGTGAGTGGGGCGGGGCAAGAAGGTGTTCACTGAATCAGAACGCAGTGGAGAAAGGCATGCCAGGCAACTACTGGTGGCACGGTAACCTGGAAAGGGCACTGAGGGTTAACGATGGAGGGAACTAGAACCCACCGCCTTTATTCTCAGCTTTTGAGTGTTTACTTGGATTAATGTCATGCTCCTGTGACTGGAGTTAGGGGCAAAGGGTATGTGATCATCTCTGTATACATATATGCGTACACATGTTTAGCCATTCTAGTGTAAGACACACATACACACACACACCTGATTCAGACTCCCAAATTGGGAGATTCCTGGATATGATGCCATGTAGAACTGTTCATTTAACCCTTTGTAGTCTGTGATCTTTGTCTTTCAAGGTTTTTAGAAATACAACCAAGATATCTACTACAGAGCAACAAGTAGTTCTTACATGTTTTAATCTAATCATGAAATCTAATTCTTTTTACTTAATATTTTAGACAGTTTATCGGTTGAGCCAGGCACTACAATAGGAAATACTCCTCTGATGTTGACAAACCTGGCCCATTCAATGCTAGTTATTTGGTGAAAGACTTTAGGGGCGTAGTGGATAATTCAAAGAACCTATTCCTTTTTAGTAATTATAGTCACACCATTCAAATATGTATCTGGACCTGTAGTTATTGCTTTTATTGTTTGTTTGCTTTCCCACCTATAATAATTTCTCTATGTTTCTCGACTCTCTCCCCCTCCTAACTGCCATCATGCCGTCTCCCATACCCCCATCAAACTGAAATTCACAGAACACCATTCTGCCTTGCCAAGATCAGTATTTTGTAGGAGGCCAGAGTTATAATTGCCCGTATTCCACTGCAACGTCAGAATCTAGTGTTGATGTTTCCAAGGAGACTTGGGTCTCTTTCTGGGCTGCTGGTCTCCTGGACAACGCTGAGACCCAACAAGCACCACAGACACAGGGTAAGTTTTACTCTTCTGCTTTGCTTGGATCTTTTCACAGCCCTGAGGCTGTAAGCATCAAGGACTGGGACTCTACAGAAAAAGTGGTATTATAGAGAATTTAAGTGAGCACTAAGACTCCTGGATGTTTTAGCAGGAAAATTAGTTGTTCTGTACACATCAACTAGTACAAATAAAACCCTTCCTCTTGTATGCTTATTTCCTACATTTTGTAATTCTTGGAGATTGCCAACTCATGGAGTAACTTTGGGTCTGTTGCACAGTTTCATAAACAGCAGTCTGGAAGCACATTTTTGGAGTTAAAAATATTAGGTGGAGAATTTATTTTGTAATTTGGTGAGATCCATGTGACCTTGAGAGAAAAAAAAATCAAGAATGAGTAGCAAAGTTTATTTCATCGTACAAATTCTGTGAACAATACTTCACACCTGGAAATAACCATTTTCCCCTTCACATATACACTTCAAATTTAGAGAGATCTCCAATGTTGGTGGAAATGATATGCAACATTATCATTGGCCTGAAGCTTAATGAATATTTTTATCCCATACTGCAGGGATTTCTGCATTAATGCTGGTTTCTGTAAAACTTTCAGGCACCTCAGAATTAGACACCTGTGCATCCATTCTGCCCCCCCAAGGTATTTTAGAGACTCTGGGGAGGGGTATGAAAAGATGCTGAAGCAAAAATCAAAATGAATGAACCGTGTGTTGTGGAGGAAGTTGTTCAGTTTTGCCTTTTTACTATAAGCAAAAGCAGGAGTGGAGTGTCTCAGGATGTGAACCCAAGTTTCATTTTTACTTTCTTGCTCACCTTCCAATTTAATACTAAATGTTTCAACAACAACATTTTAAGTCCTACAGGCAGGTCAAATGTGAATGAAGCCAAGGTTGGAGAGGGAAAACTAGAGTACATTAGCATGCAGAAACAGCTTCTTTTCATTGACGGGGATAGCTTGCTGTAAAATATGAAAAACAAAAAACTTTGAAAAAAACATTAAAATATACATATATAGACACTTGACATAGAGTAAGTATGGTATAACAGTGAAATCGCCATAACATTATTCAGAGAAACAAGAAGCACATCGCTAAGGTAAATGGGGGTAAGGGTTGTGGATTTGACTCAGCCATGGAGTGCTTCTACAGCATGTACACAGTCCTAGTTTTAATGTCCAGCACTAATAAAGAAATAAATACTGGAAAATGTTATCATACCATGACATAATATTCTGAACAAATTCTGTCCTTCAGATTTCACAAGTGGGACGAGTGAGAGGAAAATATACAGCATCACAATATAGGATTTGATTATGGAGCCAAATATCATACTATCAAATGCTAAAAACCAGAAAGTAACATGAACACTAGAAAATGGAAGTGGAATTGCAATATTGTGCCTAGTGGAAAGGCAGGGTCATTAAGTATTTCTATGAAGTACTGGTATGGAAGAGACAGCCTTTATTAACCTAACCAGTAAGAATGTACATCTACATTTTAGAAGCTGCTCAGCTCCTAAAATACATGTCTTTGGCCACTTTTGTAGTGCATAAATATTTGCTTACTTCCTTCTTCTGAAACAGTTAAAAGTTTTGTTTTCCTGTGTGAAATAAAAGTAATTAAATCTATTAAACTTTAGAAGTTCTTTGTGAGTATTTATCACACGGTTCTAAATACGTTTATTCATCTGTTTTGTATTTTCACATAGAAGCATCCTGTGACTTAAATGTCCCTGTTCTGGACTCATGTTCATGGGAAGAGGCTCAGCTCTCCTCCCAGCTCTACAGAAATAAGCAGGTATGGATAGGTAGCAAGAACATTGAGACTAACTAGCCTAGTTTCATAAAACCCACTCTCCCCTGAGTCTCCCTTTACTTCAAATTGCTTTTTAGTTTTAAATATGTTTCTTTTTTATAAATTCACACTAGCTCAGTGCTTGTTGTGACTCCAAAGAGATAAATGTCAAATGAACAGGCTCACAGAAACAGAGGCTCTGAGAAAACTTAGGGGTGACTTCTCAATTAACCAAATTCTTTTTCCTTGTCTGTGAAATATTTCAGCAGCCCTTCTCTGAGGCTGCTGCAAAGACCAAGGGATGAATACAGCAGTGTTTTAAATGATAAACGCAGCTCATCTTTGAGAGGAGGGATGATGATAAAGGTTTCCCAAAGATCACTTCTTCCTCCGGGTCTCCTTTGTGGCTGTTCCCAACTAGCAGTTTTATTTATTGGACACACTGTCCTACCTTGAGGCTGGGAACAGCCAGGTCATATCTCCTGCTTTTATTTTCATAAATGTGCAAGGAAGGAGTCCAGCCAAGCCTTCTACCATCTTTCCTATATTTAAACAGTTCCGTGCGGCTCACTTTCCTCCCTCCCCACCTGACTCCCTGTGGTTACAATTTTGAAAGTCATCTGATCTCTTCAAACACTTCGTAATGAATGGGCTATGCAGGGCGCAAATTGAACAGTCAGGTGGTAGGGAGTGTAGATGTGATTTAAGACTCAGAGAACCAGGGCTCTTTGAAAGTATGTTCAGAAAACAAACAAGAATAATCAAGTTTAAGAAGGTTGGGGAGCAGTGCGTTGTTATTGGGTTACAAAGCCAATAGAGGGGAGCACCCTTCACTATTGTACGCTTCTTGCAGCTCCAGGACACTCTAGTACAGAAGGAGGAAGAACTTGCTAGGCTACATGAAGAGAATAATCACCTCAGACAATACCTGAATTCTACTTTGGTTAAATGTCTGGAAGGAAAGGCCAAGGTATGTAATTATCTGTTTTCTAAGTGCAAGGCAGTAACTTGACAGAGGAAACCACTGCTGACACCCCATGATTAAATACTTTAAGTTTACTGAACAAGATGTCTTCATGGGAGTTAGTAGGATGGATAATTTTCCTTAAGGAAATATATAACTTCAACAGGATTTTTATATACCATTTTCCGCAAGTTTCTAGTTTCAGATTTTTAGCTCAACATCACAGAGGGAATTAAGGACAGAAGTTAATCAGAGGAATTGCTAAGACTACTGGAGTTCATAAAGAGTGGAATATTGGAGTAGAAATCAAATGTAAAAAATATCAGTAATTCTAATTATGTGTTAGATGTTAGCTGAAGTTCTTCCTCAGGGCCTTTGCTGTCGTAATTGATAAATGGATGGGCCAAGAGCCTTGGTAAGAATCTCTCTGGGGGCTGTGGGGATGGCTAAGTTAAGTACAGTGCTTTATGTGCATCCATTAAGAACTGAGTTTGGATCCTGAGGTGTTCACATTAAGCCAGGCACAGCAGCACTCATCTCTGCAATCCCAGCAGATAAGAAGGAAGCAGAGACAAGTAGATCCTTGCATCCCACTGGCTGCGCAGCCTAAGAAGATCAGTGAGAGACCTTTCCTGAAAATATAAGGTGGAGAGTGTAGAAGCCTACACACACGCATGCGTGTGCGCACACTCACACACACACACACACACACACACACACACACACACACACACACACACACATACACACACACACACACAGAGAGAGAGAGAGAGAGAGAGAGAGAGAGATATCTGAATCTGAAATGCTATGGTTGTACCTGGGCTCCAGGTGTCTCCCCTGGTGATTACAGATATGCAAGCACTCTTTCCCCTGAACTTTTAAGTGAACTCAAGGATAAATAGTTCACTTGTAACCTTTTTGTTCTTCCTTTCTTTAATTTTTCACATTTCAGTTTGCATTTTCTATCATTCTTATTACTATGTCTAACATCAGTTTTATCTTACTTCTGGACAAACTATGGCATTATTTGATGTAAATTTGATGCTACCTCCTGCTTTTGAGTTCAGAGAGAGTCATTAAATTTGACTCCTTTGCAATCCAGTTAGCTTTGACCAATGAAAACACATCTTTATAGTTATTAGTCTGGGATCCTAACATCAGATATCAATCCATAAAAGATCATTAAGTGATATTAATTGAGAAGTTTTAATTTTGTTGATATCAGTTTTCTAAATTTAGAATAATATAATACATGATATGGGAGTGTTTTGAAAGTTAGTATCATAAACAAAGGAGGTAGTGAATAGTGTTGAAATCAGACATTCTGTCTAGATTCAGATACATAAAGTTTAAATCTAGACTAAGGAGAACTCAGCTGATCACTAACATGGCTGTGTTTTTATTTATTAATCATTTTAAGAGCATCTGCATCCAATGAAAAAAACATATAAGCAATTGTTTATAAATTATGGTCCCACTTATTTACTTATAAATAAGTTTAGTAAGTGTCAGCTGCTATTGGCATCAGCGTTTATTTCTTTTAGTTGAAATCTTATAGATGTCTTCAGCTTCCTTCAATTTGTAAAAACTGAATAAAGAGCATGAATCAAAGTAACAAATTATTAAGGATGTTTACTCAACAAACAGTAGCTAATTGATTAGTTTTGCTTGTGTGGGGACACACAAGACATTTAGCTGTTTTTTTTCCCCTAAGCAATTGGGTGAACAGTAACTATCCAAAGAAATACAATTTTCCAATATTGCTTTTACAGAAATTGCTGTCATCAGATGAGTTTTCCAAAGTGTGTGGAAAACTCAGAAAAGAGAAGAGGAAACCCAAAGAGCACAGACATCCACCTGCTGAGATACCCCAGTCCAAAACTGCCAAGAGAAACCTCTCCACAGAGTTTTCTAACTGTGAAGAACAACCTGGGCCCTGTGTGGACCCCTGGGTTCTTCAAACCCTTGGGTTGAAAGACCTAAACACCATTGATGACACCCTACCAGCTAACTACAGTGCCTTTGCCTCTCATCCCAGAACAGTGCCCAGTACATCCTCCCAATTTCTACATGATGCAGTTGGCTATGCAACTGTTCCTAGAGATCTACACCTTGACTATAGAGGGGACAGAACACATGCCCCCCACGTCACTGCCATCCACCAGGAAGACTGCCACTGTTTTCCTACGCTTTCCAACCCTCCAGGAGGGGTGCAAACTCTTCCTTACCACAGTGTAGATGTGTCACCCAACAAGACAGAGGTGGCCTTCTCCACATCTCTGAGCCCTCACTGCAATGTGAAAACTCACTCTTTCCATCAGGGACAAGCCTTTGTGCGTCGAGATGAGGAGGGTGGCTGGAAGTTTACCTGGGTCCCTAAGCAGCCTTAGTGACCCCTCTTCTACCACAGCGTACTGCCAGGACCTCTGTTTACAAAGATGTCTTTCACACGGTCTTGACCACCCAGAACACAGCAGCTGCCTGCCTCCTGCCACTGCCAGTGTTCCTTTCGGTGACACACTCAAATCTGTAGGGCATGGTTGTCATGACAACACACTGATAGGCATCTGCTCTTCTTTAACTCATGATTGACTCGTTTACATGTCCATCCATGCAGTTGACTTCCTCCCTTTGCCCGACACCTGGAAATGCATTTTCTAATCACATGGGTTTTTCAAGACCAGAAAGTACTTTTCCAGTTATGGCCAGTTTAACAGCATATCCTTTTTGGTCAAATGGTCTACATGTTGCTTCTATGACTCCTCTGCTTGTCTTTATTTCTGAAAACTACTTTTAGAATGAGCACTATTTCTACTTCGCATACTTACTCCTAAATGGTCACAGACTGGGGGTGTGCCCATTGGCACTAGTGAAGACACACTACCAATGCGAGTAAACTTATGCCCAGGGAAGATCAAATAATTGTTTCATGCGATGTCCTCGAAGTGTCTTTTCAACAATGTTAATCTCACTGATAAGCAATACCAATGACATACTGTAGCAGTCAAAAGAATTACTGCTACTTTAAAGTACCATGTGGTATAAGTATCTCTATTGGCACCTGGCATTTTCATTCAAACTTTTTTTTGAAGGACTTAATTTAAAAGTGTGTGTGGGGGGGGGGGGATTCCTTAACTACACAGACCCTGACAACCCTGTCATTGGAAGAGTAGTCTAGCTTGCCTTTGCAATTGCCTTATCCTTTTTTAGCCTTCATTCAGCAATTCCCTCAAAAATATTTATAGGATACTTAGTATCCATGTTGGACAACACACTGTGACATGTGGTGAGTCCTAGACTCCTGCATGGGTTAACCTTGAAAAAGCTACTTCATTTGTGTGAAGGTTTAGTTTCCCCGACTCTAGAATATACAAGTTAGATTAGGCAATCACTAACATTCTGAGCTGAGTGTGAGTTCTATCAGCTTTAGTCCAAGATGACATCCCAGCCTATTCTTCCCTTTTTGATAAGTGATGCAGATAGTGTACAGGGTGAACCTTACTTACATACAATCAAAACAAGGATGATAACTATAAGCAATATATATTTACCATTACAAATTCTGTTCTGATCACAATATTCTTCAGTGTAAGCCAGTTTTGCATGGGAGAGTCATTTGCATCTACCAATAGAGACATGTTAATTTTCAAACTGTGCATTGCTTAAATGCAAATGCCCTCATCACGGATTTATCCTTTTCTAGATTAAAGACATGTTCACAAGAGTTTATTTCCTTTCCACCCTGTTCTTCTCAGAATTAAGCACATATCACGGACATGCACCTGTGCTGTCTGCACGTGGCCCCTTGCTATTTCTCTCTCTCTCCCCATTCCATCTCAGTCACTCACTTCACAGAATTTTTGTCTGACATGTGTACTGTCTTTAATTCTTTGTAACAAAGATGTTCCTTTGGTTTTTGTTCTTTGTTCGCTGATTTAGTTTGATCATCAAATCAAAGAATCTATGCTATAATCTTTATTGCTAATCAGTTTTGCTTATTATCCATGAAGGAGCTAATAGTATTCACTAGAGTGTTTTTATAACTTATGGAGCCATAGAACTTTTGACAGCTTTCTTTTCAAAGGACTGCCTTTTACTTTCTGGTATTCATATGAAAGCTCTGGTGGGTGACATCAATCTCATTATAGGATAGCAAACTGAGCATTAGAATTGATTGTATGTTACTCCGCTAGGAACTGAGTAAACAATGCAATTATTTTGAAAGTCAAATAAACAGAAAAACAAAATTAGCTACCAGGTATTTATGCTGCATTGTTTCAGTGCTGTATCATGTGATGCACACCATGAGGAAATGCCCAAGTTCAGCACAGTACATTTGGTGCACAAAGAACAGCCACATACATATCACAGCTTTTGAGATTGTTTCAAAGCAACTTGGTCTCAGCCTGGTTTATGGAAATTACATTCCATTTATAACTCATTTGGACTTATATTGTAAAAGGCAGTATCTGAGAATTAGCGTATATTTTTGCAATCATATGTTGAAATTGCTGATCTATTTTGAGTTAGATAAAGAATATCATTTTGTCGATATTTAAGAAATTTGAAATTTCATTATTTGAGTGCATGTTCTGACTTCTATGGCTTGGTCTTTTCTCTCCAGGGAACCAGTTAATATTCTACAAGATAAAGTGACAAACAAAAGCTCTGTCCTTTTTTGAATGTGATGAGAACTTTCATATGATGCAAATGATTTGCAACAACAGATTTTTCTCCTGCTAAGTTGTGACTATATTTCTCTTTATTTTCACTAATTTTAGAATACATTTATAGCTGGACTAGTATCATTGTTATTTATGGTTACTGGCTGCCTCCTTTTTCCAGGTAATAAATGAGGCTTTTGAATAATCTATGGCCTAAAGAATCAAATGCCTTATGGATACAAAAGTCTTGAACCTAACCTCATATGAGAATTTGTATCTAATGTTGATTGTTAATTATATTCTGAATTTCTCTCTCTTTAATAATAATATATTAACTATTTGAAAATTGTATACAATGTATTTTAATCATATTCACCAACACCCCCAATTCCTTCTAGATTCACCCTATCTACCCTCAACTCCCTCCCCACCCCAACTTCTTTGTTTTTGGTTATTTATGAATAAACCTAATAGGTGTAGTTCTTAAACTACAAATACATGGCATAGTTATGTTTTTAAATGTTTTATGTCTACATTTATTAAGATGAACATAAGCATCTAGTTTTAATTCTTACACAGAATATCTACAAATGTCAAGCACAATTTACCACTTGCATTTTAAATGCTATGATTTATTTGTGATTGGAACTCTTTATAATTATATAAGTCAATTTCATAATGAATCTCTGACTAATAAATGACATAATTTATTTTATTGTCCTTTGGCTCTTATTTCAGAAATGATTTCCAGTGAATGGAGTAATGCACTAAGAAAGAGGTTTTGTACCCATTTCTGCTATAAATTTTACATCATAAAATATTTTTTCATTTCCAATTCAGTTTTTAAAAAGTACAATTAACAATTTGGAGAAAATTTTCAATAGATATAACCCATGACAGTCTCCAGTGAGGATACAAAAAATGTGTCTTCAAACTGAAGCATCTGTAAATGGAAGGCAAAACCTGAGAGTCCTTGATCAAGGCAGCTGGCTCTGGAGAAGCGAGGACTCTCTGTTCTAGTGTGATGTAATCGGAGTCCAAGGCCTGGTGACGGGAATCTGGTTTGGGATTTCAAGAGAAGCTGTGATTGGGAGCAGATTCCTAAATGGTGGCAAAGAGGTGGGTACACAAACTCTACAGAAAGTAGAGTACAACAAGGTCTGAAGACTTAAGTGGCAAGCTGTGTCTCATAAAACCCTTTCCGATCTTCTCCCTCTTCTCACTTATAACTGCCCCAAATGAGGGAAACAAGATGGCCTTGGCGAGGCCAAGGGGGAAGATCAGCAGATCAGACTACCTGCACATGGAGACTGAGCAGTTTCCCCAAGTCTGTGATCTATTCTAGGCCATAATTCACAAGGAATAAATTAATTATCATATCTCTGTATAATATCTACAGAGAATAACAGAGATTCTTTCTCAGTGTCAGGATTTTGTTTTTGTGCAGTGCCATTTGATTTTTATTTTGTCTTGGAGAAAGTTATGACTGACTCTTTTTCTAAATGTTACTTGAATATGAATATAGTCAATGCAGTTAGTGTAGGTGTGTGAAGAAACATGAAATTTGCAGGTAAATAAGTGGAACTAGAAAATATTACACTGAATGTAGTAATCTATACCCCCAAATACAAATACTGAATGTTCTCTCTCATCATTTAGTGCCTAGCTCCAAATCTTTAGATGTGAGCATATAACCTAGAGTAACTGCTGAAATCAGGAAATAAATGGTGTAAGGCTGGGGAGGGCTTGATATGGAAATAGCAGGATACAAATGATATGAAGGGGGAAATGGGAAAAACAGTAATGGCTTAGCAACACTAAACAGACTGAGCAGGTCATATTTATATACCTATGCATTGATACATATATGTAATAACAACAAAGAAAAGAGACATAAATTGGAGAGAGATCAGGGGTCAGAGCACACAGAAGGGGTGGGAGTGATGAAATGAAAGGGAAACTGGTGTAAATTTGGATATGTGAAAATGAGAAAACTTAGGCCTGTAATATGACAGGCCCATAGGGTTAAGGAAAGTGCTCAAACCAGTTGCCAAGGCATGCACATAACATACTTCCTTATGAGCCAACCTGGAGTTTGTCTGAGGGTTTAGCAATAGGCACTGTCAGAGTTCCTGATCACTGTCAGAGTTCCTGATCACAGCCAATGAGGGACAACCACGCAATGCTACCAGATTGTCACACAGCCTGGGTGCTGGGAGTGGGGTATATAAGGCCTTCTCCATTATTGAGTAAAGGAGTCTGCTGTTTGCTTTCCACTGACACCCAGGTGTTTGTGTCACTGAGGGGGTAGCTTCTCACCCCTCCCCCAAGGGAGCTGCTAGGATCCAGCAACATAGGCCCAGCATGAGAACTAACTGAGGTCCAAGAAAATATTCATTGTGCTATCACACATAATTCATTCTGTGGAAGCCAAATGAATATATGGCACCATGACTGCTGCAGAATACATCATGCCTTTTATGCAGAGGTACTGGAGGTAGAGAGGGCCCTTAATCCTTTATCTTACTGTTACCACTGGTCTCTTTGGAGACTCAAAAATCTCACCATGTACAAGAGAGACCTAATTCATCCTGTACCATTTTTAAAGAGAACTGTAAAAACAAATCCACTTCACAAACAGTATGAAGAGAGAATGGTGGCAAGATATCAGGAAGTGAATTATCATTGAATATACTAATAGGCCTCTTCAATGAAAAGGCAGATAAATTAGAAGGAAAATTAATTTATTTCCCAATTACTTTTGCTCATATTAAAACTTAAAGTAGAAATGTACAAACATTTCTCATGAAGGTCTACTGGGTGATGGGAATGGGATCCACTAAGTGGATAAAATACTTGCATAGTAAGCACAGGAACTCAAATTCAGATGGGTTGACTAGCTAGAGTAGGTGGAATCTGAGCTGTCCGGGTTCAGGAAGGGACACTTCCCCAATAAATACAGTGGACAACAATGGACAAAGACACCGCATAACATCTGGGTCTCTCCACTTACATACATATACATGTCTGCCCACATACATGCAAATATTTACACATTTATGACAACACCACACACACACACACACACACACACCACACACACACATACACGCACACACACACACACACACACACACACACACACACACACACATGCACACACACACAGGAAAGGCTTTCAGGAAATACAGTTCAGATTTGTTGAGGTATTGGCATTATTCTCTTTTGTGGGAATCATTTTAGATAATCCTGGAGGGCTACTAAGATAATGGGTGAGAACATATACAGTGAAGAATCCATGCATTCTAACACCCTGTGAGCTTTTTGTTTGCTCCCTTTGGAGATGGAGGATTAAATACTCCGTTTTCAGGTACACAATAGATAGAGTTGTCTTTGTCTTCATCTCTATGCCAGACTGATCATTTGAAATAAAAAGTCACAGAAAGGTGTTTCAAGGTAATTTCCCATTTCAAATAGAGTCCTTAAATTGATGTCCCTCTGGGTTGAGGCCTGAGTATCTCAGGAGCCTCCGGAGGAATGGAACCTGACAGCAGGAACAGCTCTTTAATGAGGATGCTGCCAAGTCAAAACCTCTCCTTACAATCAGGCAAAAGGCCAAAACACACCCTCCTTTCAGGTTGGCCTCTTGAGATTGGCTACCTTATGGAGGCTGCAGGAACACCTTCCTTCCATCCCTAGCTAGCAGGATGTGTTTCCAGGTGAAATCTGGAAGTGGCACCTGTACAGATACCCCCCTGGGCCCACCTGCCTGGAGAGCTGTGTGAACGCCAACACCACAGCCTGACTCCACTGGGAGTTAGAACACCATCTTGCCAGAGACTGTCTTTTCTCCTCTGGGGTGTAAGGACCATGGCTAGCCCTGCTTGGCCCCCTTACTGTGCTTACTCAACATTTGTGTCATCATTTAGTTAATAGACTTTTGAAATGATAGAAGCTGAATCGAGTTTGTTGTGAGTCATCTCATTAGCAACAATGAAGACAAAATGGTCCAGGTTCTAAACTAGCCCAGTGGTGAATTGAAGAAGCATTGATTTCTTCTTCAGGGTATTTGGACACAAACTTCTGAAAAAACAGCTTAACATCTGCAGCCATTTTGGGGATATGTTTATGTCAGCAAATCAAAACACAACATGTTCAAATATCCATTCCTTTTACAGCCACAATACTTTGAACAGAGAAAGGATATAGCAGTTAAAAATATGTGACCCCTCTGCTCACAGTGTGGCCTTAAGAATGAACTCCCCTTCTCAAGCCAGGGTTTAGGCCTGAAAGTGGTGTTACATTTTTTTTAAGGATGATGTACACTTTTTCAGATTCTATTATTTATTCTTAACCATCACGTGGAGTTCAAAATATTCCTTTTTAAATCTCAAAGGAAAAAACTTTCATACATTCTAAAACACATAGTTTTAAATATGTAAACCACCTATATACCCTTATGAATTAATTCTATATATGCTCATTTTAAGATATAACTTAGTCTTCTAGGGACTATGGTACATGTCCTATATGTTGTTGAATAGAGGAAAAGCAGAGATGGATTTGCTAAAAGCATGATATTATGGAGAGATTCAAGGGATGCAAAGCTTTGCTGACAAGGAGTACAGGCACCGTTTGGAAGGATAGAAATGACAGCAGTGTAAAGTGAAGACCTCTCAGGAATGAGAACCAGCATAAGTGGTTACACCCTTTTATATAAGGATGTATATGTCCCTAGAATACATGCAAGTTTCTTTGTAAATAGAATTTCTGTCTATAACAGAAGCATAACAAGGTGCAATGAATCCAAAAGAGCAAGGGGATGATTTAGATGTGCTGTTTGTATTGCTACAAATGGACCATTGCTTTTCATGTCTGTTTGTACCAGTCTTAGAACAATAACTGGTGAGTCTAACTTTGATCTATTTTCTTTCAAAATACTCTGGATTTCTTAAGATTAAATCAAACATCCCTCAAGAAAAAAAACTGAGATAGTTTTCAAACTCCTCAGTTTAGTGTTTTAATAATAATATTTTTTTTTAAAAAAATTGCATGTACTGAGCATGTAGCATGAACACTAAGAAAAGCATATGATAGTTACCATCATCTGTCTGAGAAGAAAGCACTGTAAGCCAGGATATACATCTACAATACATGAGAACGACTACCATTTGGGTTTTAGTCACATAAAGGACTTCTGTAGCCAGTGACGCTATCCTGAGGAAGGCAGCTATATACAGTATATCGAAGTAATTGTTATGTTGTGTTTGCTGTATTCTTATGTATTGAAATAATACTCAGGAAATTTCTGGTGGGTATGGAAAATCTAACCTGCTGATTTGGAAGTTTAATAAAATTACTGCAATAAGAAGAATTAACATTTTTATGTGCATTGGTGTTTTGCCTAGATGTATGTCTGTGTGAGAGTGCTGGATCCCCTGGAACTGGAGTTACAGACAGTTGAGAGATGCCATGTGGGTTCTGGGAACCAAACCCTGTGATCTGGAAGAGCAGCCAGTGCTCTTAGCCAATAAGCCATCTCTCAACCCCCTAGAACTAATATTTTAATTGTCTTACTAAAAATTCCTGGAGATTGGGTGTTCTGATTCTGTCAATTGATAACTATTGTGAATTTTGATTTATGAGTGGCTAACTT